TACGCCTTGGCTCTCAGAATGTGCATTTCTGTGGTTAGATTGTTACCCAGGATAGAATTCTAGGGCAATTGAATGGTTTCCTTCATAAAGTGTGCAACACAGAACTGAAAATGTACTTTTATTTTTTACACAGGAAAGACAAAATTAAGCAGCAATTAACCAAGAATGCATTATCTTCCTTAACTGTTTGACCTCTACTTCAAATGTCCTGAATTTCTTTGAACTAGTGCTTATTTTAATGGTACCATTTACAGTCTGGCTAATAATCTGACTATCTCAGTGTATCATTTCCAAGAGGAATGTAAGGATAATAGGGACGATTCCTTATGTGACCTAGCGTGTTTTCAAATTCTATGTAAAAGTTTACTGTGTCAAACTTGAGCTAATTTATGCATTTCAATAAAAATCCAAAAAGTCACCAATTTGAGTTCCTCAGGTAAACTCTTCACAGGCTATACCTACCAGATCCAAAGAGAAAAATATTGCCATTACCAGTCACACGTGAAATGGATTCCATGGCCTGCACACTAAAGACTGGGACCAATACATTAATAACCACTTCGAGTTTTTAAATGCACGCAAACTCATATCTCTGTATACAGGGATTATGTGGAGAAATTAGTGCTTAAGAACCTGAGATCGTTTAATGCACATATTATGTATTTTTATTCATTTTTAAGCAAAACTATAGCCAGGATCATAGCGACCCGATAGGACAGAATAGACCCTGTGGATTTCTGAGACTGTAACTCTTTATAAGAGTAGAAAGCCAAGACTTTCTCCCTTAGAGCAGGGATGAGTGAGTTCGAACTGCTGACCTTGTGGCTAGCAGCCCGATGCATCACCACTACACCACATGAATCAGAATTGACTTGATGGTAGTGAGTTTGGTTTGAGTTAATAGCCAGGATGTTGGACCTGTGAACAGAAAGATGGTTTCTTTGAAACAATGTCCTAATAGAGTCACCAAATTAAATCCCAATCACAGATCTTAAAGTCCTTCTCTTCTAATAGTAATATGGATACTTATCCCTATGATGTCTCAAAGAATAAAATTAAGCTGACCTGGAGTTGATATTTCTTTGTCCATCAAGTAGCAATTCCTCATTAACCCTTCTCCTTAGATGCAGTGGGAAGACACAGTCAAATGACCCGAGTCTAATTCTTGTTGTTGTTGTTGTCAGGTGCCCCTGAGTCCATTCCAACCCATGGTCATCTGGGTGTGCAGAGTAGAACTGGCCTGTATGAAGGATTTTCAAAGTTGAGACCTTTCTGAAGCAGACAGGGGGCCTGTCTTCCAAGACACCTTTCCACAGAAGCAGCAGCCTGCCCTGTACTACATTGTCGAAGCGTATACTATAACATTCTACCAACAATTTATGCATTCAACTCAGAACAAAAACGTTTACATTTTCAACCCATCATTGAAAAGAAACATCACTGAGGAAAAAAGAGAGCAAGGCTTATGGGCGCTGTCTCCTTTCCAAGAAGTCCATAAAGCCTTTGGCCATTTTTAAGAAATGTGCTTACATCCCTGCTTTCCCTACCAGTTTCCATTCTCCCAAAAAGGACCCTTGACACACAAACTCTTTCCCAGCTCCCAGCAAGTCATTGGCACAGCTACTGGTGAGCTGAGCACCTCCTCAATGAGGAGAGAGCTCCATAGGTTTCCTGAGGCATCTCCTCCCTAGCCCGCGCATGTGGGACGCTTCTCTAACGACCATCTCTCCATCTGCATGTTATCCACATCCAGCTCCTTGTGACAGCAGCTCCTTTGTCTCCACTCCAAGGCAGAATCACCCTGTGCTCCTCTGGTCCGATTTAATTAAAAACAATAAATAAAGGAACTTCCGTTCCCCTCCCCCATCTTCACGCCTTAACTATGTCTTCCTAAAGTCTTTCAATAACCACAGGAAGCTATTTTGTTTCAAAATGTTATTGTCCTCGCTCATAAGAGGACTTTGTTTACTGGAAGATGAAGAAACTCAAGGGACATAATTAGTATTCAAATGAGACTGATGAAGCACATCAATTATTGAGAGGGGCAGTTCCTTGAGGGGCATTGGAGTAGGATAATCAGAAGAACCCTGCCGTACAGGGGGAACCTGCATGAGGCTCTGCATCAACGGACCCTGTTACCTTGGGCAGGCAAAACAGTCACTTTGTACGTCTGCACTCAGTAAAATGAGTCAGAATGATTCAGTCTCCTCCGATAGCTGCTACTCCGAGCTCAAAGCATATTTAGGTCCCCTTCACTTATGCTACCATGAAGGAGAATTGTTTGTACGTTGTGGGCAGTTTGAGCCAAGGTTAGCATTCTGATAGTTTGAACCAAAACCAAAAATGTTGCATGCTCTTAAACTAAGCAAATGGGATAAAAGTTGTAGTGAATGTAAATGTGTGGGCCCTTGAGCAGGCTCTATTGAAGTCTTTGTAAGGTGGTGGGGTCAGAATGGAAACTACCCAAGGTTACTAAAAGCAAAACCATGTGGTCTAACTTTCCGGCCTCACACAGCATCACTGAGAACAGCACCTAACGCAATGTGCTTGTGTTAGCTAACATGGTAAGGAAGGCTCTTATCACCTAGTCAACAGAGATTTGCCGCAAACCCATGGCTCATTTACTCATTCTTTCAATGATTCCAGAGCACTTACCGGCACGACGTACAAGACACTGCCGGAGCTACTGCGTGGACCGGGCATTGATCTAGTCATTGCAAGTATGCACACTCTCGTACACAGACCCATGCCACTAGAGTGCATTCTATAAGTACTCAGAGAAAGGAAAAATTTCACTGAGAGCAAAAAGTAAAAATGTTATGGAACAAGAACAATAAGGGCTGGGTTAGATTTGCACCCATGAATATAGCAAAAAATTGCAAAAGTAAAGGAAGAAGCGAGAAAACACAGCATACACTCGTATGTCAGAACAAAACTAGCACCAGGTGTAACATGGAACATCTGCCAATGATCTATCTTGTGTGAAGATCCATGAAGACATGGGGCTCAGGGAATCCACGCAGCCCTCCGTGGGTGGTTCCATTCGTGTGACCGTTTACACGGGAAGCCTGAGCCCCACGATGGAGAAATACCTTGCCCAAGCTTCCCAGGAAAGGGGAGTTGTGCTTACGGTCGGGAGAAAATGGAAATCAAATTTAAAAGGTTGATTGTGGCTACATAATAAACAGACTGAAATGCTAGGCTGCATGATCAAACTTTGGAGGAATTGACGTGAACTAAATATGAAGTTAAAAAAAAAAAGATTCTTTGTCATTTTTAAGGCACTGTTTTCTATTCTACTTTTTAAGGATCCAAAATTTAGCCCTCCCTCAGCATCCTTGCCAATCACACCTGAAAGCGATGTTCATGCTCTCTCTATTACAACCCTCTGCTTATTCAAAGGAGCCCGGAAAGACATTTAGCTCTGTTAAAGTATTCCATTTAATTTAAGCATTAAATAAGGAATAAATATATATGTTGGCACATGATGCTGGTCAATTATTTCCATACTAAAATCGGGAACTGACAACCAAAGCTGACATTGAAATTTTAATATCCCCCGGTGCTCATGCACTCTACATGCTACTCAAAAAACTATTAAGTTGTATTCTTGTCTGTACTTTAATCATACTAATGTGATTCTATTACTCCGCTGGGTTGGTTGGCAACCAGATGTACACAGAGCATTTAGTGCAGACAGATCCCCTAAGTGGACATGCATTAATTCCCCCTAAAAGTCTTGTAAATAAAAGATGCACAAAGCCTTAAAGGATGTTATGTTTTCACAGAGATTAGTAAAGTGGCTTGAATTTTCTCTCGTTTGCTCAGCTGTTCAGGAATTAACTTCCACAAAGCTGACTTCATATTAAAAATGTGTATTATCTAATGCAAATATGTTTTACAATGCATGAAATTCCTCTTAAATCTCTGCAAGCTCCTACTATGGGATTTACATTGAGTCTGTATTTGTGTTTGATTTGTTATTCCAACAGAAAGCACAGTGTAGCATTTTATTGTGATTATTTATTATCCCAACAGAAATGTTAAATGTAAAGGGTTGATATAGAAGTGCAGCAGATACTGAAACACACATGCCCGAAGCCACCAAGTCATGGCTCTGTGAATTAAATTACCATGATCTTTTCTCTGCATCTTGAACCGCACCATTTACTAAGTTGCTATAATGCTACTAATAAACACATTTATTGAGTTTTCTTATTCATGTTCACATCTTTATTTTGACTCTGGCTGTAATGCAATTAAAGGAGCCTTTTCTGAGATCTTTGTAAGTGATTCTGTGATCATGAGAGTGAGTTTCCATCCCCTCCATAACATCTAGCATTCATGAGGTGGTGACCTACTCTAGGTATTTGTTAAAATCCATTGTACTCCCATACTGTAATTGTATCATCGAAGGGATGCTTCCCTCTGATAAAAATTATTCAGACGTTTTAGCCTAGTTGAATTGCAAAAGCGGGTTTTCAAAGATGATGTAAATGCAATGGTGTTTCTCCAAGTAAATATTTACAAGCTAAAAAATAAAATTTAAGGATTCCAAACGTTATTTTAATTATTCAAGCCAGTTTCTGTCCCCTAACTTGTAAGTTATTTTCACCTCTCATTTTTCACAGACCCCATATTTCATATACCAGTGTAGAGGATAGCTTAACATTTCAACCTGCCTAGCCATTAAGCTAATACGCATTTCAACCATCTAACATACTGTTCTGAGTGTATTTAATATTAATTAATGTTTATAGCAGCCCCTTCCAACAATCGTCATTGAAATAAAGTCACGATGTAAGGTTATTTGAAATAACTTTATTTTTAAATGACCTGAACTATAGGAGTTACTATTTTAAATGTAGCTTTTAATGAAACAGGGAGTTATAGTCGTGTGTGAGGGTTGACATGCGTATCTGAAGTAACTCATCTGAAATCGCAATTCAAGTTCGTCATGTGTTATCGAACAGCTACACAATAAAGAATCAAATTCTTGCTTTCTATATTTTCACCATAATTTTATTTGATATTTACAGTTTTCAATTTCTAATGCAAGGGTCTTGCTGAGGATTTGGGGGCTGGGGAGGAGAAAGGGGGTTTGGAGGAAAGGGATCAGCTGCGTGATTCGGACAATTGGTGGAACTAGCAGGACGTGAACGTCTTCCAAAAGAAATTCTTGCAGCCAGCCTTGCGTTCTCGGGGCGCCATGGCAGGGTTCGAGTTAGCAGACCTCTGCAGATCCAGCCGCAGGTCGTCCTGCTCCGCAGCCGGGGGCAGATCTTCCGGCTCCAGGGCATCGTTCTCCGTCTGGTTGGGTTCCGACAGCAGCTCTGCCAAGAAATACTTGGCCAGCTCCTGTACAGGGCAAGGGGAGAAAGTTGGGGGGTGGGGGGTGCAGAATGAGGAGGAGGAGAACACTGATCATGGCTATCGGGAAGGGATGGAATGCGTGGTTGGAGAAAGCAGATTCATTCAACCCCAATACCCGCCAAGTTTCATGGATGCCCACTCTGACACACTTAATCAGTTTAAGACATTCATACATAAGGGTAGCTTCTATAATCCCAAGTTACACCAAACGGCTTTGACAGCCAGCCCCAGCGTCCCTCCGGGTTTTCTGCCCCGTAGACTGAAACGCACCCAGAGAAAGAGAACTCGCTGCAGATGTGACAGCAGTTGAACCAACATAAACAGGTGTCAACAGTTTTCGCTTCACTGAATCTCGACAGCCTGACTTGTAAGAACAGAACGGTGCCCTCTGTTGCTGCACAGTCAGCGGTGGGCAAGAAGACCCCTTCGAGTGGCCAGGGTGCTGGGTCCGTCTGCAGGGCGCCCCCGCCCCAGCCCGGCGGCCCGCGGGCAGGGCGCTGGGGCCGAGGCAGGCGCAGCTTCCCGGTCCGCGCTTTCAGCACCTGGGTCAGCACCTCCCGCAGTCGTCTTTTGGGGCGCACCCGCAAGGCTGTCTGAGCACCAAGAATCTTACCTGAACCCCGACCGACTGCGCGGATCAGAAAAAAAAGGGGGCGAGGGGGTGTCTAGGGGGGAAAAGTCTGGGCTTTGAAAGTTGGCTGAGAGCTTTGGGATGGGGGAGGCTACAGGAGGCTTGGGGGTCCGGGCGAGGGGAGCGCAGACGTCGAGGGGCTCCTTACCTGCTTCCCGGCGGCCGCAGCCAGGGACTTCTGCAGAAACTGGCGGAGTCGGGGGTCCGAGGGCGCCGCGGTGACGCCGCCCAGGGCCAGCACGATGGCGAGCGCGGCCAGCGCGCACTGGAGGCGGCAGGACAGCATCTCGGCGGCTCGTGGGACACGCGGGAGTCTGCAGACCGCAGCGACGCCTGCCAGAGCGGCTGGCGTGCTCAGCGCCGGCTCCCCCCTTTTAAACTCTCCCTCTGACGTCAGGCTAGGAGGCGCCCCCAGATCTCACCAGGGCTTTTACGCACCATTAGCCTCGCCAAATCAATCACAGAAAGGAGGGGAGGCCACACACACGACTCAAAGTTGCTTATTAAATAGACAAAAGAAAAAGTCCCGCACAGGCACATGCGATTGAACACATGTCACCCACTCCAAGCAATATTTTAAGTCACTCAATGCTGTGCACGTCCGCACCGCGGGATTTCACTCACCACGCTCCCGCACTCACAGAGACGCACTAACAGGCTCCAGCACTCCGCCTTGCCTGAGACCAACTCTGAGTTGAACTGCTTGGTACACACCACTCTGCCGGCTGCCGTGGTGCTCAGACGCCTCAGAGGTGCGGCACCCGCAAGACACAGATGTCTGTGTGTGGCCAGGGGAGCTTACAAAGTGGTGCTCTAAGAAGCCATGTGAGGCTGTAATGTGGACCTTGGAGAGGACCATGGGGTGCTGAAAGATTGCATACCAATTCTACTGTTTCAGGAGTTGAAAGACTTCTTGCAGACCTGGATTTTACTCATTAACAGCAGCAACATCAGTAGGCAGCTTTGGGAGGCCTTGCATGAGCCCCAGGTTGGGAATGCCAGGCCTAGTCTGTGCTCTGACTCAGACCTAACAGCACTGGGACAAGGACCCGGCTCAGGGCAGGGGCCTTACCACGCCACTTGGAGCTACTTAAACATGTTCCTGACCAGAAGGGCTCATTTTAGGTCAGGAACCCTCAATCTGAATCTGTGACAGTCTCAAGACACACATTATTGTGTCCAGGTACTGGGAAAGGATCAACCAGATTCTCAATCAGATCCAGCCCCTACCCCCCCCCCACACACACACACACACTCAGAGTCTACAAAGTGCTGTCCTGCAATGCTGATAGTTAGCTGATTACATGTCTGCTGCCTGAGTCCAGCTGACCACCTGGGATATACCAGGTGATCTCCGGGGACCTAGAAAGCACGGGCATGATACGAGTTTGTTTGTTTTCTAGTTAACACTAGAACATGATGCTGTATCCACACAAACCAAGTCAAGCAGAAAACTGGGCAAATCCTGTCATCTGCTACATATCATGCGTTAGAACATTCTGACCACTTAAACAGAAGCTACTCACACTAAACCCACCTGTTGAGAAGTGAAAGGAGTGGAGAGATGTCCTGACTAACTTAGATAACTGTGACCTGTTGTGTCCTGAGCCCCTGGGAGAACAGAGTAGGGAAATATGCAATATGAGAGAGACCAGCTCCCAGATCTTGGGGTGTCCAGGCAAGGCTATCCCTCACCTGTGTCCAGAGAGTCTAAGAGAGCAATCCCATCTGAGGCCTACACCCCACTCTTCTCTGTACATCCAGGATCCTCCCTTGGTCCCTGAGGCAGGACTCAGAGTCTAGTTGTGGCACTCTCAAATGATCTCCTCCACCCAGCACGTGGCCCTTAGTAGCTCCATTGAGTAGTGGAGCAGACACTCCGGTTTTTTCATGTTTTAAAAAACACTTTATTGTGGATTAGGCGACGGTTTACAACATAGATGATCAGGTTTCCGTCCAAGAATCCATGCACTATTTGTTTCAACTCATCCATTGTCATCCCCTCAATGGACCATCCCATGTTCTACTTTCTCTCTGTTTCCTTTCCTAACTTTGATCTTGAGTAAATGTGGCACAGGGACCAGGGACTGAACAGTAGCTCCGCCATCTTGGTCTGTGTTCTGTGACCTTCTTCCTCCCTCCTCAGACTGCTGTCTTCTACTCCTACCTTCTAACCTTCCTCCTCAACACTTTCTCATCTGTCCTCTTTCGTCTTTTCCCTGATTTTCTCTGAGTTTCTAGTCTCTCAGAAGCTCCACTGTTCAATCCTTCTCTTGAGCCTGTGCGTGTGTACACCGTTTTCCACATTCCATAACCTCATTCCCTGTTATTCCTGCCCATCTCCACCATTCCTGACCACAGCCTGGCTCTTGGGCTCCTTCCTTGCAGTTGGACTTGCCTTCTCACTGTGATAAGCCAGTATCTATCTTGGGCTGTCTCTCCCCCTTGCTTTTCTTTCTCTTTCTTCTCAGCTCTTTCCCTCAAAAAATATCTGCGATCCCTACTTGACCGTACTTGAAGTTTTATAGCTTGTTTTTCTCATACCCTTGCTGAAATGGAGGTGATTATGTCTGGGGTTTGTTTTGCTTTACAATCCTTACCTTGTTGTGGGTCTTGTTAAGAGCCCTTTTAAAGGGGATCCACAGCAAAATTCGACATGCATTCTCCTTGAGTCTAGGAGTCCCTGGGTGGTGCTGATGGTGAATGTGCTCCACTCAGATCCAAAACGCTGTTGGTTTGAATCCACCAGGGTGCCTCTGAAGAACAACCTGGCTGGCAATTTGTTTCCAAAAAATCATTTATTGAAAATCTTATAAAACACAGTTCTCCTCTGGCACACCTAAGCTGCCCCGAGTTAGAAGTGGCAGGAACTGGGTGACTGCTTACATAGCAACGGCCACACTGGTTCCCTAGCACAAAGGCACTTCGGACATCCCCAAACTGAGCCCTCTGCAGCCAGCCACGAAGGCTTGCCTCCCACCTCCCAAAGGGAGGGGGGCCCTGACGCAGTCAGCATGAGCCCTCTGAGTAGAATCCTGCATGCTTCACAAAGCTTTCCGAAGAGTGTTTCCAGCACTACAGGCTCCTGCTGAGAAGGAAACTGAGTTCCTGAGAAGAGGTGGCTTGCTCAAGGGTACCCAGGCAGGAAATGACAAGGCTTGAGCAATATGTTGCTCCACTTCAGAGGCTTCCATCCTCCCCCGAACAACTCCAGCCAGGCTGCAAGCACATCTAGATAGCCTCCAAGGCGCTTGTGTGTGGCTCCTCCGGGCAGGGTGGGATTTCCTCCTTCCCTTGTGTCAGGCATATTTGGGAGTGATCCTCTCCAATATAAGCAGTACACACGTACTCTAATAGAAAGTAAGAAATATTAAGCAGACAGAGACGTTCAATATTCAGCGATGCAGGAAAATAAAAAGGTTTGGGCGAGGAGCTTGGATGTCTGGGTTCTCGCTCGGGTCCTGTTCACAAACCAGCTGTGGGGATCTTTTCTAGACTGAGCTTCATCTGTACAAGCAACGGCTTGAAGGGGGCCATCCTTATAGTGCCATCCAGCTCTGGTGATCAATGGGTTAAGTTTGACTAGATAAAAAGGAAACGATAAAATGTATTTTGATGTTAAAAATGCCATTCCTTTCTCAAAAATTGAGTTCACTCTGGGGTTTAATAAAACCCCGTATTATAGAGAGGAGGAAGCAAAGTGCAGTGAAAAAGTCACAGACAGGCAATACACAGTACCCTATGTTAATATACATCAAATTGATAAAGGTTTGAGAAAGACATGGGGAAAAGTCTTTTGAGGAGAACTACTTGAGGAGAGACTTAGAGGAAGTAAGGGAGCAACCATTCAAATAGCTGAACAAAGATGTTTTCCTCTCAGGTAGAAGGAAGAGTTGGTACAAAGTTGACATGAAGACCTTGGACAGTGGCACAGAGGAGGCAAAGCAGGAAGAGCCAAGATGAGGTCGGCAAGGTAGGTGGCACCAGCGCCCCCCACAGACGGGAAGGTCATGGAGAATTTGACCAGGACACTGCCCTCATTTGACTTGATTTTTGTTCGTTTGTTTTTAATCACCTTAACTGAGTAGAGAATTATCTGGGGGACCTGAGCAGAAGCAGGACGACGACTTCAGTCTAAGCACTCCTTAAGAGAGAAGAGGAATCAGGATAAAAGACACCTGCCCTACCTAACGCCCCCAGGTCATGGCCAAGTTAGCTGGATCAGGATAGAGGTGCTTCATCCTTCCTTGCCTGAGCCTGCTGCAGTCAACTTCTGTGACTCGTTTCCCAAGTTGGAAAGGCAAGGAAGGGAGGCTGTGTTTATTACTGGGAAGTCTCTGCCCCGTGTCTATTTCAGGTGAGAAAAGAGGGTAATTAGAACTAGAGTGGTCACCATGACAAAAGTGAAGAGTTTTGAGGTTCGTTTTGAAGTAGAATTAATGAGACTTATTCATGGCTTGTTTGGACATCAAGAAAAGGCACTGAAATGCGCTATAGATAACTCGGTGGCTGCCTGGGAGGTTCTGGAAGCTGAACTCTCCCTGTGGCTGCTCTGACCCAAATAGGCCTACCACCTTCACTTTCCCGACGGGCAGTACAGGGTCTGAAGAAGCGGGAAGGCTTCTTTCACTAGAATGCAGCACCTAGATTCTGAAATTTCTCCACTAGAAAGCAAGTCCTTCTCCTCTATAGACGTTCCCTTAGAGCCATAGGAAATCAAGACTTGGTAACTATTTTAACACTTTAGTGTGGATTCATTCATTGGATTTTCTTTCGGCTCTAGGGCTGGCTGCAGGAAGGGTTCCACTGAAGTAGCATTGGGAGATCCATTGGAATAAGTGGCTCACCCAGGAGAAGTCGGATTTGGTGGGTGTGATTGGGCAAAGAGGAGCTGATTGTAGTGCTCATGTAGACTCCTTGACCCAAGGCAGGAGTGGTTGTGTGAGAATCCCACAGGGACTACTTCTTCAACAGCAAACCCACCACCCCGGAGTACTGGGGCAGGTAAAACAATAAATAGATAAACCTCACTGCCATCAAACCGATGATGACTCATATGGACCCTATGAGGCAAGGTAGAACTGCACCTGAGTTCCTGCGACTGTTAACAGGAGTTAAAGAGCCCACCTTGCTTTCACGGAGTGGCTGATAGTTTCAAACTGCTAACCTTGTGCATCACAGGCCAGTGTGTAACCACTACACCACCAGAGCTGCTCAACTTGGAGCACTGGAGAGGGACGTTGCAATGGTCCCGGGGCGTTCGATGGGCCGGATTTCAGCGGAAGGTGCCGGCGGATTCAGCCGCTACCTTTACACAAAGTCCCATTCA